CATACGTCGATAAAAAGCGCATGTTAAAGGTAATCAGCACAAACAGCTCAAGCCAATCTGGTAGATCTTCGGGACTCTAGAGACAACTCAGTTTATACGGGGAAAAGAAATTGGGGCAGCGGAAGAACAACTGTTCCCACTCCAGGTCTGATTAGTAGCAATTTCCTTCAAAAGATAGACCGACGTGAACCACTTCCCATGCCAGAGTTAAACAAATGGATCTTATCACCCAATCTCCTACCGAGCTTAACTGAATGCCTCCGTGCTTTTCTCTTTTCGAAAATCCCTCGTGCTCATAATATGAAGAAACTGTGCCACTTACCATTGTGACCTTTTTCCTACTAAGGATTACATTTGCTTAGCTAAACGGATGTTAATGAGTGGCATGAACTATGGGAATTTCAAAAAAGGTAAAAAGTGATTTACTTTCAGCACTATTCACTTCCATGCAATCGTTGCTTTCAAATATCATCAGAGCGGACAACGACAACCGCAACATTAAAAATATAACTCAGTACTCACTGCAGTGAGTGACAGAGAGCGCATTTTCTCGTCGACGAAAACGGGAAGTCACGGACAGACGGACGGACAGACGGACAGACGGACAGACAGACAGACAGACAGACGGACGGACATGGCGAGCACAATATAGTGCATTTTTTCCATATATGAGAAAATGCGCTAAAAATGAAAAATATGCGCAGAAATGCTAAAAACAACAACGGCAAATCAGAAACACAGCAGGAATATAAAAAAAACTAATGAATGACGCAACCACAGCACAGCGGAAGCAGTTACAATGAAGCCTTCATGATCAATTACTTACACCGTCATCAACATTTAGCGGTACTGATGAATGTTTCAGTTAAACTCGAAAAATTTTCGGTAAAAAGATTACAGTGGCCGCTATAAAGGTTTGAATGTCCGCATCTGTGGCACGCTAATTCATCGCATTTTTCGACCGCTGCTTCCTGTTGTTGGCTGTCAGGTTGACCCCGTCGCCAGAGCCACGGGGTTTTACGCAGCGTGCGCAACTGCCTCCACGAGGGGAAGCTGATTAAAGATATGTTGCTTCATCCAGCTGATGGTAGTGGGTCAAAGGGATTTAGATCTGGGATTCAGCATTTATGCTCAGCACGATGACGCTGATCGTATAGTCAGAGCATCAGCAACGCTTCACTTGTTCGAGATGTCTGTCAGATCCATCCCAATCTTCTCTCATTCGATCGTTGCCAATTCATTGACATCAAGCGGTCACCTAACGTGGCCGTGGTACCACCCAAAAACAATCAGAGGTCGCCACCGAGTTGCTTCACCTCAATTTCTGCGCTGTCCAATGGCAAGTAGTTGTGCATCACCCCGACATCCAAACCAACTGTGCATCTCAGTACTTAAACTTAAGGCATTGCATTGCACGTTTTTCACCTGGAATCAGTCTTAGAACGTAAAATCGTTTCTCTGCAGTCACTCGCCGACTATGTCGTTGGTAATCCTCGTCAATTCTCTCGGATAGTCAGTTCTTTCTCGTGGTTAAATTCTAGCTCTATGTCAGCCATGCGAATGAGCAAAAAACATAAGCCAAGAACCGAACCTGCTTGGTGGTACTCAGATCTTTACCCTTGCCTCGCTCAATGCTGGGTCTCTTACCGCGACGGCTTGTGCCGTCAGAAAGTTATGGATCATCGCCAGCAAACTCTCTCCTTCCCATCAGCCGGAGCAGCTCTTCCTTAGCCGTAGTTATACGACCCTAGAGTCAAATTGTCGAAAGCTTTTGAAAAGTCCAAGGATTGTACGTTGAAGTCGGCCTCTTCCTTTGGTTATGCCAAAATACGCTAGACAACCAAGTTATGACAACCAAGAGTAATTTCTCCAGAATCCGTGTTTTAGATCATGAAGTAGGTCAATTAACCTCTTCTATACAACGGATAGGCTTCCAAGCCACCAACTTCTAAAAATACTTTGATTATTTGCGACGTCAAAATAAGTGCTCTGCGATTTTGAGGTCAGCCATTAGCATATCCTTTGTATAGTATCGGTGTTACCAGTCTCACATTGAAATAACCAGGCGTTGTTGCCTCCCTCAATGATGCTTTCTAGAGCGTTGTGACTAAGGCCTTCAGTGTTCCGACTCATTTCGTTGGCAGCACTGCCGTAAATCCATTGGTTGCCGGTGCTGAAAGCGTTGATAGTTTTTAGATACTATTATTTTGTCATCCTGTCCACACTCGATGTTTCCCGACCTCCTGTCTCCTGGAACTGATTTTTGAAAGAATTCCATGATGCCTATAAGAAATCGCCAGTGTCTTGGAATTCAGCGAATTTCAGGGCCAGCCCGTTCACATCAGAATGACGTTTGCTCAACTGCAATAATTTCTTGCGTAGTTTAGTGCATAAAAAATCAATACTTTTCTAATGGAACTCGGAACTCCAGACGATTTCAGTGCGTTCATTCCCTATTGCCTCCAAGTCTGATCTTCAATGGTAAAAATTTAGCCAGGTCAATTTGAGGTCTGACCCTGGGCAAATTCTCAATTGAGGTTGTCCTCTCCGCTAATAACAAACGATGGTCGGATATTGATGGCTCCTGAAACTGAATGCCATCAATCATTTATTCTTTTCTTTTACGAAAAGAACGCGTCAAGGGTTGTCAGCTTTTTAGCTAGTAGGCAACCACACATATGCCGACTAATAGGGTGTTTACCGTGTTTCTCAGCAACTCTACACTAGTTAAGTTTCTCTACCTCTATACAATTCCAAACCTGGATAGAGAAAAAACTGACCATCACAGACGTCGTGGACTGAAGTCTCATTCCACCCATCACTAAATTAGGGAAAGATCTTACAGTCGAACTTCCTTGTTCAGGAAGGGTGCTATTTCTGCATCCAAGACATTCTTTCTTTGAACGGACTTCGTTGGTGCCACCCTGAAGATCCTACACTCTACTTTCTTTTATGAGAGAATAGTATAAATTTATTCATATTCCCTTACATTGCCTCAAAACACTTCGATCTTGTGGTGCACTCAACATGGGACGAGCTCCTCAGCATAATGCCAGCCTCTGTCCTTATGAGTATATTTGCCTGCAGCAACACCGCTTTCCTTAGCACTTCAGCTACCACAACTGGAATAGTATCCGCTACCGCCTCCGCAGGGCTGTAAAAGCACTGAGACCGACCACCTGCCCCTCGTTGTGCGTCTCTTGCACACTCTTGGAGTAGCGACGCCTGCTAGATGGTCTCTATTTCTCCTCAGGGTCCGTCCACTTTTCACCGCTTCCCCTTACGGCATTCCCCGCATTGCCTGGTCTTCCCTGAATATTTGGGGACTTGATGTTCTGCTGGTAACTTCGCCAGTCAGCATTGAGCTGCGACTTTAGGTGTTGGATTGTAAACTAACCGTAAAAATTTGTATTTGTATATATTGCGCAATATAAAGTATTTAATGTCAGGACACATTACTTAGTGCACGGTGTTCAGTGATCAGGATAAACTGCTCAGTGTTAAAGCTCTTGATACAGTGTTCAATGCGCAGTGTTTAATGCCAAGTTACTGGAGCGCAGTGTACCGTTGTCCAGTGTCCCTTTATGCCGGGGCTCATTAATGCAGCTCCACACAAACACCTTCCCCCCAAGGGGACGTTAGGGAGGGGAAGAAGGGGGAGACGAGGGGAGTTGACATGAGGAAGAAAAACGAAGTGGAGGGAGCTGGATGTAGGAACAGGGAGAAGCCTGAGAGAGATGGGGAGATGGCTGTCAAAAGTGAGAAATAATTGGGCAAGAACCCCAGAAGGGGAGAGGAAGCGTGGGGTATAAGGCAGCTGCCATTCGGTTTTGCTTCGNGTGCACATATATCAGGCACTGCTGCAGTGCATATATCAGGCACTGCTGCAGTGCATATATCAGGCACTGCTGCAGTGCACATATATCAGGCACTGCTGCAGTGCACATATATCAGGCACTGCTGCAGTGCACATATATCAGGCACTGCTGCAGTGCATATATCAGGCACTGCTGCAGTGCATATATCAGGCACTGCTGCAGTGCACATATATCAGGCACTGCTGCAGTGCACATATATCAGGCACTGCTGCAGTGCACATATATCAGGCACTGCTGCAGTGCATATATCAGGCACTGCTGCAGTGCATATATCAGGCACTGCTGCAGTGCACATATATCAGGCACTGCTGCAGTGCACATATATCAGGCACTGCTGCAGTGCACATATATCAGGCACTGCTGCAGTGCATATATCAGGCACTGCTGCAGTGCATATATCAGGCACTGCTGCAGTGCACATATATCAGGCACTGCTGCAGTGCACATATATCAGGCACTGCTGCAGTGCACATATATCAGGCACTGCTGCAGTGCATATATCAGGCACTGCTGCAGTGCATATATCAGGCACTGCTGCAGTGCACATATATCAGGCACTGCTGCAGTGCACATATATCAGGCACTGCTGCAGTGCACATATATCAGGCACTGCTGCAGTGCATATATCAGGCACTGCTGCAGTGCATATATCAGGCACTGCTGCAGTGCATATTTTATGTCATTATTTCTTACGCGCATAAATTTCCTTCCTCGGCGCATTATCAAAAATAAATTTTTGACAATGCAGTTTAAGTCATAAATAAATGCTAATTTTTTCCAATTTTTGTATGGATAAAAATAACTAAGTATTAAAATTTTTGTTTTGCAGAGGATTACTAAGTTTATACAAAAGAAAAATATATTGGGAGCCATGAGGATTAACAGCTGAGAGATTAGAAAAGATTATAACATGTTTATATAAATCAAGAAAAGACATTTGATCTGAACAGCGCTAGCTTGATTAGTAGAAGGGTTATCAAGATTAAGTGATAACCTTCATGATTAGAAGGGTTATCAAGCTTACATAATAACCCTGCATGATTAGAAGGATTATCAAGCTTACATAATAACCCTGCATGATTAGAAGGATTATCAAACTTACATCAGTAAGGGGTCACTCACCACATCTATGAGTTGGGATAACTTGAGGCCGAGTTTAACGGTAAGTCTGTCAGAGTTATTACCCACGGGTCTGATGAGTCTATTGTAAGTGCTGAGTAAGTCTTCATAGAGTCTTTTAGCTTCAGGGTTAGCGCACGTCGGGGAAGTAAACAGGACGATAAAAGAAGTCAAGAAGAGAGGGACTAAAATCCACGGGAAGAGAGGAAGTGCGAGTGTAGAGGGCGACATGACGAAAGGTAGGGTGGAGAGCCGCCGGCGCTCTACCTCCTCACCTGCACTACCGCAACACACTGGCTGACTGACGTGCGCTGAGGCCTGGAGTGAGGCCATATCCGTACACGCACGCACGCACGCACTCACACTCCACTGCCGTAGGCCCAGTGCACGTCTGGAGGGCATGAGGAGTGCATTGCATGTCCGGGCACTCCAGCCGCCGCTTCTCTTGCCACTCTGACCCTAATGAGCGCAAGAAGTTTGCTTCAACTCGCACTTCTCCCGCAGTAGCTTTAGTTCCATTCTATTTTTTCTTGACCGAGAATTCCCCATTTAATTGAATGAGATTCGTAACTCACGCAGAGTCGTGTGGGGTAACTAAAAAGCACTGTTTTTATACATGGCGCTCGTCGCTGCTGGCAGTTATGTCAGTTGATTTAGCTGCAGTTTTTGCCCTCTGTAACATTTGCCGTCTGTAACATTTATCTTCTGTAACATTCGCCCACTGTAAAAATGTAACATTTTTAATCGAGCAGCAGCGTTGGGAAACTGTTTGTACAGTACATGACAGCGCATGTACGTGTTTTAAAAGCACGCTAAAATGTTCGTTAATAGAGCCTTAGATTTTCCCGCGATCATATTCACGTAATGTTATTATTACCACAAATATTCTTTCAGCACCAATTTTTTCTTCACATTATCTCGGCAATTCACTAACCCAACTTTAAATATTGCATGACGACTAAATTTCTTTGCTCATAAATATTTCCCGAAGCACAAATTTTCCTCAGCCACCAATTAATAATAATCTCATTTCCCTTTATCACCCGTTCCCCCAACAAAGCCTTTTACCCAAAGAAGAATTTTTCTCGACAACCCAAAGCTAAAAATCTTGAGTTATCGCCCATTTTTATTAACCACGAATTTGCTCGAAAAACGAATTCTCCAAATCATCGACTTTATTGGAACTAAAATTTTCTCCAACAGTCAATTTCACTTTCATTTAACCATAAATTTTCCCAGTGAGGGATTTCGCCGAACCATCATTTTTAAAATCGTTGTAAACAAAAAATTCATTTATTTCTAATTTATGCTGATAACTTATAAGCTTTATTGTGATTCAATTCAGTCCGTTAAATAACATCAACAACTCACCACACAAGGTCATCACACTACACTGGATGAGGTCACCACACTCCACTGAATGAGGTGGTTGCACACTCCACTGAATAAGGTCATCACACTCCACTGGATGAGGTCATCACACTCCGCTAGATGGAGTCATCACACTCCACTGGATGGAGTCATCACACTCCACTGGATGAGGTCATCACACTACACTGGATGAGGTCACCACACTCCACTGAATGAGGTGGTCACACTCCACTGAATAAGGTCATCACACTCCACTGGATGAGATCATCACACTCCACTGGATGAGGTCACCACACTCCACTGAATGAGGTGGCCACACTCCACTGGATGAGCTCATCACACTCCGCTGGATGGAGTCATCACACTCCACTGGACGAGGTCATCACACTCTACTGGATGATGTCATCACACTCTACTGGATGGAGTCATCACACTCCACTGGATGAGGTCATCACACTCCACTGGATAAGGTCATCACACTCCACTGAATGAGATCATCACACTCCACTGGATGAGGCCATCGCACTCCACTGGATGAGGTCATCACACTCCACTGGATGATGTCATCACACTCCACTGGATGAGGTCATCACACTCCACTGAATGAGGCCATCACACGCCACTGGATGAGATCATCACACTCCACTGGATGAGATCATCACACTCCACTGGATGAGGCCATCACACTCCACTGGATGAGGTCATCACACTCCACTAGATGAGGTCATCACACTCCACTGGATGAGGTCATCACACTCCACTGAATGAGGCCATCACACGCCACTGGATGAGGCTATCACACTCCACTGGATGAGGTCATCACACTTCACTGGATGATGTCATCACACTACACTGGATGAGGTCATCACACTTCACTGGATGATGTCATCACACTCCACTGGATGATGTCATCACACTCCACTGGATGAGGTCATCAAACGCCACTGGATGAGGTCATCACACTTCACTGGATGAGGTCATCACACTTCACCAAATGAGGTCATCACACTCCACTGGATGGAGTTATCACACTCCACTGAATGAGGTCATCACACTCCACTGGATGATGTCATCACACTCCACTGGGTGGGGCCATCACACTCCATTGGATGAGGCCATCACACTCCACTGGATGAGGTCATCACACTCCACTGGATGAGATCATCACACTCCACTGATTGTGGCATCACACTCCACTGGATGAGGTCATGTTATTGTTGTCATCACACTCCACTAGATGAGGTCATCACACTCCACTGGATGGGGTCATCACATTCCAAATATTAATCCTGACTGGGATAATCAAAAATTAATTATTATATTCCAGCAACACCGCGTAAGTTAAAGAGACGACGTAACGTGTGACGTAATCCTACGACGTCGTAACGACAGCTGGTGCAGGCGTCGTAATTGCAATGCTAAGTGACGCTCCACGTCACCGTCTGGAATGCAATAAACCCCTCGGGGAAGAGAGGGAAGACGGGGGGAGGGAAGGTCTGGTGGTATGAGGGGAGAGTGGAGGGTGAGAGGGAAGAGTGGGTAGGGAAGGAAAGGTGTGTTAAGAGCGGAGGGGGAAAAGTGTGGGAAGGGGTGAGTGGGAATGAGGGGAGAGTGGAGGGTGGTAGAGGGGAAGAGTGGGTAGGGTGGGAAAGTCGTGGGGAGAGCGGATGGGGGGAAAAGAGTGGGGAGGGGTGAGTGGGAATGAGGGAAGCGTGGAGGGTGTGAGAGGGGAAGAGTGGGTAGGGTGGGAAAGTTGTGGGGAGAGCAGAGGGGGAAAAGAGTTGGGAAGGGGTGAGTGGGAATGAGGGAAGAGTGGGAATAAAGGGAGATGACAGTAGTTCACTCATGCGTCATTGTTTTGCGTCACGAGTGCGTCTATGAGTCTATAAATACTTTACTGAAGATGATACTCGTGTCGCGACAAGGCGTGATATCTACGTAAATACGAATACCATACGTGATACTAATAAAAGGGCAATCTCAATACTAATACCAGAACTAAGCGTAGCGGCAATACTAATACCAGAACCACGCGTAGCGGCAATACTAATACCAGAACTACGCGTAGCGGCAATACTAATACCAGAACTACGCGTAGCGGCAATACTAATACCAGAACCACGCGTAGCGGCAATACTAATACCAGAACCACGCGTAGCGTTAACACAAATACCAGAACTAAGAGCAATCCTAATGTCAGAAACACTAGCAATTGAAATGATAATTCAAAAACAACATTTAATACGGATAATAATAGTGGAAATACACGTTATACAAGTAGGAGCACGCGTAGCACAAATTCTAGTACAAAACCACCAGGCGTAAAATTCATTCAAGATAATTGATATTTTCTACTGATAAAATCAGGCTTCTCTAATCAATAGAAACGATCAAAAAATATAAATGATATAACCTCATCCGGTGTTTTTCCTCGATGGTTTTGTGTTGTACACATAATCATGCAGATTTAGGTATAGTCCTCACACATGAACATGCTACATTAAATTATTTTAAAAATTAAATTGAAACTGTATCTAAGCTGTATTTATCTAAACTGAAAGTCAATTCATGTATTTTTTCATGAAACCATCGCTCTTATATTCCAAAAGAAGACTTTCCTTCAAACGAATGAATTTTAAGAGGCATGTCCGGCCGAATAAATTTATTGGATTTGAAAGCGAATTCTTGGCGGTGAATACCTTTCAAAATAACATCACCAAGAGCATAAACTTGAATCACAGCATCAGCACAACTCACAACATCACTACAACTCACAACATCACCACAACTCACAGCATCACCACAACTCACAGCATCACCACAACTCACAGCATCACCACAACTCACAGCATCACCATGAGACGCAACATTGCGTCCAGCATCACCACAAGTCACATCATAAGTCACAGTATCACAATAAGTCATCACATATCTACAACATCACCATAAGTCACCATGTAAATACACTATATCATCACAAGTCACATCATAAGTCACAGTATCATCACAAATCACCACAAGTCTCATCACAAGTCACAGTATTATCACAAATCACCACAAGTCTCATCACAAGTCACAGTATTATCACAAATCACAAAAAGTCGCCACATTTCTCCCAGTACCAGCACATCTCAGTGCGCCAGTGGCAGCGGTTGAGTGAGGTTGTCGGTGCCGTCGCCGGGCGTGATGAGGGCCGCTCTTGAGTTTGGCCGCGACAGGCCGACGCTCGGCCTCAGATGGTCGGTACTTATGACGCTTACATTTATGGTCGTTTTAGGGGCGGCCAACCCTGACGCTAAACGCCTCTACGACGACCTACTGAGCTCTTACAACCGACTTATACGACCAGTCAGTAACAACAACGAGACCATCACTGTTTGGATGCGACTGCGGCTATCTCAGCTCATTGATCTGGTGAGCGGTACTTTTGGTGTTTACTTTGTTGTGCTCTTACTGTTGTGTGCTAACTTCTGCATCACAGTACAGTGCAGCTCTCCAGGGGTGGTGACAGATGTCAATGATTAACACGTGTATCACTTTAACACATATTTTTAGCGGTTAAGATATGTTTGCGGTTGGCTTGTTCTTGTAAAGGACTTTATTTGATTAGACAAACGCATTATTAATAACACGTTCGAATGTGTTTACACCCGACATTTAGGTATCTCCAGGACAAACAAGTATACTGTACTTGCTACAAACATTTGAGTACCACTGAGGGCGTATAAGCTCACGGTATTCACTCCGATGATTTAAGTATCTCACGCCACGCAAAGAAGTCTACGGTGTTTGCCCTGAATATTTAAGTATCAATGATAAAAAATTCTGCGGTATTTGCACCGAGTATTTGAGTATCTCAATTGCAAAATCCCCACTCGCAAATAATTTACATTTATTTTTTCAAATTTTTAGCTTGATATGCATACATTCAGAATATTTTGTTGATTTCTGAAATAAAATCAAGGCCATCGGAACTCAATACAAAGATAAAAGTTAAAGTTGTATAGAAACTCGTGAAAATATATTTAGAATTGGTAGTGTCAACAATTGTGGTTGTAGTTATGGTGATTTTAGTGATGACGATGGTAGCGAGGATGTCTGTATTGGTGGTAGTAGTTGATGGTAGTTGAAGTGTTCGTGGTTGCAAGGGAAACGGTTGTAGAGGTGGGGATGTTACTGTTGTAGTGCTGTCTCTTATACACATCTAGATGTGTATAAGAGACAGAANTGCTGCAGTGTACAGCTGTAGTTTAATGCTGCAGTGTACAGCTGTAGTTTAATGCTGCAGTGTACAGCTGTAGTTTAATGCTGCAGTGTACAGCTGTAGTTTAATGCTGCAGTGTACAGCTGTAGTTTAATGCTGCAGTGTACAGCTGTAGTTTAATGCTGCAGTGTACAGCTGTAGTTTAATGCTGCAGTGTACAGCTGTAGTTTAATGCTGCAGTGTACAGCTGTAGTTTAATGCTGCAGTGTACAGCCTGTCTCTTATACACATCTAGATGTGTATAAGAGACAGAGATACGTGCTCACTAAATTTTACAGGTATTCAAAGGTGTTAAGCAGCGATAGTAATATATATGGTGTAGTAGCGCTGTAGAATAGCTAACTTTAGCCTGTTGTTGGTGAGTTTGATTTCAATTTTAGATTGAATGGAAACGCTGTAAAATCACAATTTAACCTTATTATAATGTTTTCATATCATTGTACGGATAAACTTTTTCTCAGTGCTATTCCATGTTTATTTTTATATGGAATTAATTAATTTAATAAATAATTAAATTATTATAATTATTTTTAATTATTTTTCTGTACCACTAGTTGAATAGCGTTAAATTAATAATAATTCTTATTAAACATTCCATTTAAATAATTTATTCCGCCATGAGGCCGTCGAGTCATTGTCTTAATGGATGCATCACAGTACAGTGCAGCTCTCCAGGGGTGGTGACAGCTGTCAGTGGTTAACACGTGCATCACTATAACACATATATTTTAGCGTTAACATATATTTTCAGTTGGTTTGTTCGTGTGAAGGGCTTTATTTGATTAGACCCGCATTTTTAATAACACGCTCGAAGGCCTTTACACCCGACAATTATGTACCTCTAGGAGAAAAAAGTCTACGGTGTTTGCTACAAAAATTTGAGTACATCTGAGGATGGAAAAGACTACGGTATTCACACCGAACATTTAGGTACCTCTCGCGAAGAAGTCTACGGTATTTGCACAGACCAGTTGAGTATCACTTAGAAGAAAGTCTACGGTATTTGCATCAAATATTTAAGAATCTCAGACAAAAAAGTCTTCAGTATTTGTAGCGAACACTTGAGTATCTCAAGCGCAAGATCCCCACTCGAAAATACATTTTTAAATTTTGAGCACGATATACGTACATTCAGAATCTTCATGAAATACATACATTCAAAATTTTTTGTTGATTTTTAAACTAAAATCAAAACCATCGATACTAAATACACAATAAAAATTTTGATTGTATAGAAACTCGTGAACCGATTGTAGCGAGGGTGTATGTATTGGTGGTGGTAGTAGTTGATGGTAGTTAAAGTGTTTGTGGTTGCAAGGGAAATAGTTTTAGGGGTTGGGATATTACTGTTGTAGTGGTAGTACGTACGGAGGTGTTATGGTGATGGTTGTTGTAGGTATGGAGGTGTTGTAGTGGTGGTGGTTGTAGGTATGGAGGTGTTATAGTGGAGGTGGTTGTAGGTATGGAGGTGTTATAGTGGAGGTGGTTGTAGGTATGGAGGTGTTATAGTGGAGGTGGTTGTAGAGATGGAGGTGTTATAGTGGAGGTGGTTGTAGAGATGGAGGTGTTATAGTGGAGGTGGTTGTAGAGATGGAGGTGTTATAGTGGAGGTGGTTGTAGAGATGGAGGTGTTATAGTGGAGGTGGTTGTAGAGATGGAGGTGTTATAGTGGAGGTGGTTGTAGAGATGGAGGTGTTATAGTGGAGGTGGTTGTAGAGATGGAGGTGTTATAGTGGAGGTGGTTGNTGCTGTGTACAGCTGCTGTGTACAGCTGCTGTGTACAGCTGCTGTGTACAGCTGCTTTACACACATGTTACGTACAGCTGCTGGGTACAGCTGCTGTGTACAGCTCCTGTGTACAGCTGCTTTACACACATGTTACGTACAGCTGCTGCGTACATAAACTGCTCAGTCGTCTCGTGGTGCTGATATTTACAGCTCTTAGTTGCTGCGGTCCTTTAAATATGATTAGCTTAACTGGAGTTCAGAGACGATGCGTTTGTTGAATTCAATGGAGTAAAAGAAACAAGGTTATGGGCGCTGAGAAAATAGGGAAAATGCAGGGAAGTGAGGGAAAATAAAGGGAATTGAGAGAAATTAAAGTGCATCGATTGGAAGTGAGTGGATCAAATAGGAGATAGGGAAGAGCACAAACAAGAGGAGAGCAAGAAAAGAGTGGATTACAAGGTGGAATTGGAAAGGAAACTGAGTTAAGGTGATATACAAAGGTGAAAAAGAACGTGTAGTGATGGAAATTTGATGGTAGAAAATATCAATAATGGTTTAGTATATGTGCACTGAGGAATGGGCAAAATCTGGCCGATTGCAGATTTTTGTAACTGCGCAAAATGGGAGAATATATATATGTAAATAGGCTTATGTCAGTAATATTGAATTATTGTTTGAGGGATTGTAGGAAGAAATGGGAAGGGAAAGCAAATGATGGAACTTGAGGGGAAGCGAAGAAAAGTAATAGTATGTGAGGAAAAATAAGGATTGAAGTCAAATTATCACTTATCCTTCTAGTTCGTCTGAAGGGAAGTTAACACAAGTCATTCACATTGAATTACTTGGACCGAGTTCCCCAATTCTTATTCTAGTTCTTCACAGAAACTTTTGACTTTAAAAAGTTTTTTATTGCGTCGTCAAGAAAAAGCGAGATTGAGTATAGGGCATCTTATGGTATGTTTTTATCTTGTAATTCGGATCTGTTTTTCTTATTAATCGTATTAATACTTCTTATGCATTATTAAGTTCTCTCAAAAAAAGGGAATTCTTCTACACTTAGTCATGAACGAAACTTGTTACATGATCATTATCATTACATCGCTATTAAGTACTATCGTCTCAGTTATTATTGAAATACCAATTTTTAGTGTTATTCTACTTGATATTACCGTGAAACTCTTTATTTCTTCGTGATAGTGATGACAATGGTAGCAGTTATTTAATTTGTTGTTGCATCATCAATGATTAACATTTTCTTTGTTGTCATTGACACATTATTATTTCAGTAGCTATGCCCTACGTTGAAGAAATTATTTATGGAATTCTGCCATTTAAAATCTAATCAGTCTAATCTCGCATTCTTCCTTAAGTTTAATTGTGCCTATAAAATATGAAAACATTCGTAACTTTAAATGAAAAACGAGTTTTTTACACCGACATCCCATGAAATTATCGAATGAGTTGGCTTAGCTGCACAGTCACACGTTTCTGAGCAAAAGACAAGTAAACAAGGCCTCTTTCAGTATTATATTCTTTTGAGTTAAAATGCTGTTGCTGATCCTAGACAATAAATTAAATATGAAGTCATTTCCTGAAGCCATTCAGCTAAACGATACATCTTCGAAAATCTTGTGTCTCGCATCGTAACGACACGAGTTCCTCACAAAAAACAGTTTCGTAATATAGGCAATTCGACTAGAAATGGCAAGGAGCGGAATGACTCGAAGGTTACATGGAAAGTTAAGAACGCCTCGCTTGCAAAAAAAAAAAACTGACGACAGCAGTAATTTAAAAATAACTAAAAAAACATCACGCACTTCAGGCGAACATTTTTTTCCCTTCAGTCGTGGATGACACAACGGAAGATTTGGGTGCTGAGAACAACAAGTGCAATGCCTGCCTCCCTTCCTGTGAGGCTTCCTTTCCGACCCCTTCCCTTGAAATGAAAAATTTACCGCGTTTGCGCTGAGGCGAGAGACTTCAAGTTTATGTAATTCTGCCCAAAATATCGTGTGTGGCAGCAGACTTCGTGGCACCTACATTTATTCCTCAGGTTCACGTTTAAAGGAGTCACCCCTGGTGTCGGGAAGGTGTCATTTGTTTCAGCTTGGCGACAGAAACAGAATCATAAACTTTCATCCAAATCTACAGAAAGAATTTTGAATAACTTCTCTGCAAGTTTCCTCACAGAATTTGTAATAATATTTTCAAACAAATTTGACTCTGGACTAAGCTCTTAGGTGACAATGAATATACATTATTAAGCCATAACTTATCTGAGCCATAACATTTGCACAATTTTTCTTCTCTTAGACTTTAAAAAGCCCTTGACTGAGGATGAACCGGTCTTTCATTGCACAAACCACTCGATCAGTTTTGCTGAGTAAGCTATAGCAAAAGATTCTGCTGAGTAAGATTTACC